GAGACTCCATTTCTACATGCGGTTAAAAATTGATACCCCCATGAGGCATGTTAGAAAGCAAAACATTGATGCTGTCTTCACTGGAAGCATCGGTTGCTTTGTTTTTTTAATGACACAGAAAGCTGCCTGCAAAGAGATAATTTCATTCAGCCTAGCCCTTGCTGGATGTGGAAGGAAGTCCTTAGAGGTGACTCTCCAACGTATCCAGTATGCCACCTAGCCCTCGCTAGCTCTACTACAGCCACTGCTGCGGGATGGGCTGCGGGACCCTGCTGGAAAGGGGCTCCCAGCACGGAGCTGTGAACACTTGTTGGGGTTATCATCGCAAGCAAGAAGGCACTGTCCAAGGGAAGAACGAATATCTCGGGAAGAAATCACATTTTACTTTTGACACTCAACGCAGTCTCCATGCAAAGTGAAATACAGTGCTGATATCTGCACCTCCTGCTGGTGTTCATCTCTGCTTTCCGCGCTTCTGTCTCAGACTTGTCCCATCAGTTCTACTCCTGGTGCTTGTCGTTTTTCCCCCCAAGCTTTGCAGAAGTACTGGCTTTTTCTTTTTTTTTTCAGAACAATGCTTCGGGCCCCTGATTTCACAACTATTCTGTGTTTTTTAATGCTTGCTCATGAAAAAAAAATTATACATTTTCCTGTATAAGCATTATTTCGCTAATGAGTTTCAGATCTAGAAAAATCGGACAGTGGTTCTGGAGAGAGAAGAAAAAAGTATCTTATTTTTGTATCTGTCATTCAGCTCTTAATCTTTCTAGATAGCCTGAACTTTTTTTTTATGTTCTAAGTGCTTCCAAAACACACAGATTAGCCCAAACTGATTAAAGTATGTGTTCCATCCTCTTTATCATACCCAGGAAAGTCAGTGCTTTTGCATATTACTGAGATTATCATAATGAAGTGTAACATATCTGATATGTTAAGAACACTAACTGCTTTCCAAATAATTATTTCTCTTTTTGCAGCAGAGCTATATGTAACACATAGAGCCTATAGCAATGAAATGCACTAGAAGACACTAACAGAAATGCTGGTTTCCTCTGAACGCTCTCTGTTCACTCCCTCGAAATAAGAGAGCATGTCTTATAAACATAAAACATGATTGTGATCTCCCCTGGAAGAGCACAAGCCAGGAGAAATGTGATCTTTGTGAACTGCAGGCTCTCCTACAGCTCATGGCCAGCCATACCCTGCACACTGTCCTGTGGCTGTCTTAGGTTGCCAGGGCAGTGGGAGCTTTTTGGTGTCAGCAGAAGATGCCATAAAGACAAACCTTGTGAAAAGCATGGAGAGAGCACAGACCAGGGGTCATGTGCAACTCCATCCCAACTGCTAGCCTCAGTGGGTCAGTACAGGTAGCAGCCCTAAGATCCCCATAGCTGAGACTACTTTCATAAAACGGGGGAAAACCTGCCAAGAGAGCACCTCTCATGGCTAAAATATCACCATTTTCTGGCTGAGGATACAACTCAGTTTCCAGGCAAGATTTTGTGGATGAGTGTCCTCACAGGACAGCACAGGAGCGAAACGAGGCTGGCTGCAAGACAACTTCACCTGACCTGGGTTATGGCCCAAGAGAAATTTCCCGGGCAGCCCCAAGTTGGAGCAGCTTCCCCTGGGATCCCTCGCAGGATCTCTGCCCCGTGGCAATCCAGCCGTGCCCAAGCCTCCCATGCCAGGGCTTGCATCTGGGCTTGATGGAGGCAGTTCTCTACATGCCTCACCATTTTGTGTCTCGCAGGTAGGAGTGGGAGTGAAACCTCTCCTCCACCCCTCAGATACTCTCACTGTCTCTGCACCAGGCATTAATACAGGGCACTCTGCTTCTTACAGGGCAGATGAGAGAACGAGGAAAGCCATTTTTCTCCTGCTCTAAGCCCTCTCATAAAGTGTTTTCAGATCTCCAGGTGAGCAGTGCTCACTCTCTGCCTGGTGGTATTTTCTGCAAAGCACCCATTCAGACCAGTGGCAGATTCTCATAAAAAACAGTGGCAGGATGCAATTAATATGCTGTAAAAGCCCTAAGTGTCAACTGGAGAAACCATTTTAAAGCATTTCAAGATAAAACCCCTGGGAGTGCTTTTCTTACCTTAAAGGTGCTTCTATTTTTTACTTTTTTTTTTTTCAGTTAACTGTGATCTAAGCAGAGATTCAGGTAGTAATAAATAAAACCTCTGGAAAAAACTCTTGGTTGAAAGAAAAGCAAAAAACCACACAGCCAAGCTTAGCAATGTTGTTTTCTTTTTTAGAGGGCAAGGGGTAAGAACAGGAGGAATTTGATCTTTACTATTGAGTGCACATGGGGTAGAAAAGCAGTAAAATAAGGAACACCTGAGAGCTGCAAAGAAAGCCTTAAACTGGAAATTTTGGAGAAGAAGGAGTTAATGCTTTTAAGCAACCATCTCTCCTCTTACCATAGATAAGGGTGCATTCTAGTGGCAAAATCCATGCAATGCAGCTGCACAGATGACTGATCTAAAAAGAAACCTGGGCAATATGAAGCTTTGGAGGAGTGTGTGCCTGTGTGGAAGGGGGGTTGACTTGAATCGCACATAAACCTCACTCAGAACTAGCTGATCCCTTTGAATTTCCCAGTGCCCTGGTAGATGCCCCCGAGCTTGAGCTTCTGAGCAGACTCCCACCCTGGGTTCTGCTCACCCCCTGCTCCAGGTGTAACCCCTGAGCACAGCTGCGGGGGCTGCACACCCGCGTTTGGAGATTCCCTCTCCTACGCTTCAGCTTCCTTGCTCCGAGAGATGAATGAGAACTGAGGGAGGCAAGTGAGAAGGACCAGGGCCGGGAGAACTGTAACCCTGAGGAATGCAGCGGTGGAACAAAAGACAACAAACCCCAAGCTGCCCAGGACAGGGGATGAGCACTGCAAAGCGCTTTTTTTTTTTTCTCTTTCTTCTCCCTCCCCATTTTGTGCAGGGCAAGAGGCAGAAGAATGAGCTAAAACGTGCAAATTGGACTTCACATGGCAAAATTCCCCTTCTTTTCTGGCATGCCCTAAGCAACAGCGAACTTTTCCAAAGAGGAATCTAACACAGTGCTTACAAGCAGCCCAGCCCTCCCTCTGCTCACCGTCCGGCAGCGTTAACCCTTGCTGTTTGGGGGTGTCAGGGGCGCACCCCGGCACAGGGCAAAGCCTCGCTGCGGTTTTCAACCTCTCCCGGGGGCAGAGGGAACACGAGAGGAGGGCTGGGCACCCTGCACACACAAAGGCTCCTTGCTGGGCCCGGGAGGGCGACAG